CCAAGCCCCTGGCACATTCCAACCTCCCCACCCACCTCCTCTCTCACGCTTCCCAACATGTGCCCTAATGTGTCATCAATGGAGGCAGTGTGCTATCACCCAAACACTCACCACACTCTTCCCAACTGCCTGAACTGCTCACTACCTGTTTCTACACAATGAAATTTTACCCACCCTTCAAAGCCCACCTCAAGTTCCACCTCCTCCATGAAACCCTCCTCCTTCCTGCCTGTGACTCTTGCTCTTTTGAATGCTCAGCCCTGTGTCCATCTTCCTTCTGGTCTTCATGACGTCCTGCATCATCCCTGGACCATGCCACCCACACCAGCACCATAAGTTCAGCACGCATCTCTGTGACACCCACAGTGCCCAGCACTGGGTCATGCAAACACCAGAGCCTTGGCAAAGGATATCTATTGGCAAAGTGTTGACCCCAGGACAGGAGAGCCTTCCAGGAAAGTCTCCTGGGGTCTGTGGCCAGCCTTACCCACTGCTGACCGTGTGAGCACCTGCCTTCCCCTCCCCACCATGAATCAGACATCGTGGCTCAGTCTAGGTAAGGGCTGTTTTTATGGCCTGGTGTCTCTAAGCCAGAGCCAAGGGCTCCTTAAAGCCACGTGACACAGAAGGAAGCTGCTCTTTGCACCCTCCAGCTCCAGTTGGGCAAAAAAATATTTTCTTTTCCATTGCATAAGATGCTTCCAAGGGTGACAAGCCCAACACTACTGACAGGAGATAAAAGCCCTGTGGGTGTGAGTAAGGAACAGAGAGAGGCCGCATGTCTGTGTAGGACACATGGGTAGGCAAGTGTGAGCAGGAGCAGCCAGCCGCACGTGGCCCCTCCAACAAGCAACGGAAGGAGAAACAAGGTCTGACTAAAATCAGAGCCAGCAGAATCCACCAGCAAGGCATCTTCATGCTCTCTGCGAACGTGATCTGAGAGGAGTGGATGGTCAGGGTAACATACACGGGGCTAACCATCGCCACCCAGCCCAGCCAGGCCCCCTCTGCAGGATTGCAGCAAGGGGCCCAGAAGAGGAGAGGGGCCAGGCTCTGGAAGCCTCAGGGGGCTATGCGGGTTTGAGAGGCTGGAACATAGGTCGTGCCATCAGAATGAGCCAGGGTCAAGGCCTCAGGAACCCATGGGGAGGCCCAGCTCATCCCAGAACTCAGAGAAGGAGCCTGCCCCCATCTCCTCACTTCCTCTCCTGTCAAGGGGGGACAGCAACCGCCTTGAAGTTCATACACAGCTGCCTTGGGTCCTTCCAAGAGGCCAGACATCAACGGGCTTGGGAAACTGTACAGAACATTGCCCATGCCCGCTGAGTCCCTGGGGTGGAGGCAGCCAACACAGGCAGGCTTTGTTAAGGCTAATCTTTGGCCTATGAATTGCACCTGCAGGGAGCTAGCCTAAGGAAATCATCCTAATTAAAGAAAATAATCCTTATACATGAGGACAGTCATCACAGTGTAATTTATGATCGTAGGAAAAAAATAGAAAGCGTCTAGGTAGCTGAGAACACAGAAATGATAAAGTGAACTAAGGTTTAGCTACTCAATGGAACCATTCAAAAAATTTTCAAAGACTATGATTACATAGAAAATGGTGATGAGTGACATTAACTGAAAAAGTCATGATACAGATTTACTTGTACCATTTCTTTCAATTTTCAGCTTAAATGAAGGTTGAACTTCATACTTTAATATGTAAGAAAGACTCATGATGCTTTAAATATGTAGGCTAACTTCTACTTTGCCTAAATTTTTAAAAAGCTATGTGCTGGGACGATATTAGAAAATACTCAGAACTAACAAAGCAGTGATGTTTATGTAGTAGTAAATGGATAACTTTTTTCCATTTTAATGCAGTTTTCAGATTTTTTTATGAATGCTACTTTAAAACAGAAAAATAAGTAAACATATTGTAACAGTTTGGGTACAGCATGATAACACGCTGCAGAAGCTTCCCTGGTGGCTCAGATGATAAAGAATCTGTCTGCAGTGTAGGAGACCAGGGTTTGATCCCCGGATGGGAAAGAACCCCTGGAAGAGGAAATGGCAACCCACTCCAGTATTCTTGCCTGGGAAATCCCATGGACAGAGAAGTCTGGCGGGCTACAGTCCACTGGGTTTCGAAGAGTTGGACACGACTGAGTGACTAATGCTAACTAACTGTGTTTTATAATGGGGAGGGGAAGAGAGGCATTATTTGAATACACAGAAATAACCTGGATTTGGGGACAAACACCAGACAGGACTTCCTGAGCTGTAACTCAGGGGAACACAAGCTTTTCTGAACCAGTCCTCCTGGGTGAGACCAAAGGTTTATGATCCACCCACAACCCATTCTCACTTTCCCAGAGAAAAAAGAACACTGAGAAAGAAACAAAATAAACCAAAATAGCAAGAATGTGGCAATTACACAAGAAGAAAAACCATCAACAAAGTACAAGACAACAGCAATTTCTATGATTGAAAACAATGAAAACAAAAGGCAGCAATAAAGAGACATGACAAACTCAAGACAGCACTAATGGTGCTTTGGAAACAAAGCTCCTTCCGAAAATCACAGGGATTCCAAAGGCTCTGCCCAGTAGGAGTTCTGCAACATTGCCAAGTGTTGGGCAGCAGCCAGACTGCTGGGCAGAAACACCCAAGCTCTGTGGGGAACGCCAGGACTGCTTGCTTTATTTTATGATTATCAAACTTTAGTGACTCCTAATAATGTGCTTCTTAGGAAGCAGACTTTAGGCGGATGCATAAATGAACCTCTGGCATCATTCACCTAAAAACCCAAGAAAGGAGACTGTTTTTGGGTCAGCACATCTCACACAGCACCATCCCCACCTCCTGACACCGCCCCCCACCCAGGGCCCATGGAGTACGTGGGGGGACACCTATGATCAGACCTACTGCAGGGACAGAAAAACCCAGGCCAAAGCTCTTCTTTGCAGATGTGGGCCCAGGGACAGGGCCAGGCTACTGGGCAGGGCAGTCAGCGAGGCGGAGAGTGGAGCCTGGGTCCCTAATTCTTGTCATCTGCACTTAGAGTTCACAGCCTGGTCCTCACCAGCTACAAGTACCTGCTCTGTCCTGACCAGCCCCTCCCTCTGAGTGCCCCAAAGCATAACCTGGCCTAGAGTTTAGCACATGATGGGCAGAGACCTACCAGCTGATGAGGGAGGAAGGGAGGGAGGAGGAGGGACAGGAAGGTCAGGCATGCCTCCTCCCAGATCCCCTGCAGTTCTTCATCACATCTTCTGTCAAAGAGTTTCATTCAAGGCCGATCACACATCCTGGACAACGGGTCTGGGCAGGCCCTTAAGGCCCATCTGGTTGAGAATCTCAAATTGCTAGTTTAACCACAAAACCCTTTGACCAAATAGAATCCTGCTCCCAAGCCTGCTCTACACAGCAATCAAAATGGACTGTGAGGAGTGAGGCACAGGTGGGGGAGAGAGGATAAGGGTAAAGCCCCTCTTCTCTCTGCTCCCCAGAACTACAAAATCTCCTAGGGAGATTCCTGGAAGCCTGAACTCTTCACTAGGTCAGCTCCTGCAATTCTAGGTGGGGACACTGAGGTCCCAGCAAAGGCACATAGGGTCAGCAGCACAGCTGGGACCAGCACCTATATCTGTCTGCTCCCTAGAATCCAGGAGGGCAGGGCCACAGCTTCCTGCAGGCTGAGATGCCCACAGCACCTGCACAGGGTCTGCCCAGAGAGATCACACCTGCCCACCCGAGGGGAGAGGAGTGACTGCCAGTCACTCAACTCCTTGGTCAGCTCGCACGTGTGTGACCTCCAGGGCTGTGGGGGGCTCGGGGCGCTGCTGGAGCTGCACCTGGTCTCCCCACAGCATCACAAATGTCAGCTCTCCTCCCACGCCCTTCAGGTGAGTGAGTCCCCTCTCTCTTCAGACCTGTGTTCATGAAGCTCCCTGAGCCCTCACCTGACAGCTAAAAGAACAGGCAGGTGCAGGAACGTGCCGCAGGGAGACAAAGTCTCAGCCAAAATGGATGGGTTAGATTTTCCTATACTCGGACCACCTGCCAACGGGAACCCGGCCTCAGCCTCTCTCCCCTGAGTTCCTGTTTCACCAGGAATTCGGGCAGTGGTGCTCAGCTCCTCTCCCACTGGGGGCTGCTGGGCGGGAGCAGCAACCTCCCAAGTGGCCGGGCTGTCCCCGGGCTGTCGGGTCCCACCTGGCCTGGTCACAGTTTGGAGAGCTGCTACCCCAAGATCCCAGAACTCCCCTCCTCACCCCTACAAAGCTCAGCTCATGGCTCACTGTGGCTAGAAATAGGGGTGGGCGGGGGGCAATACCCAGGGCTCCAGAATCAGTCATAGACTATTTGGAGAAGAACTCAGAAGCCTGGTATATCCCACAAATGAGACCCCCAAACCCCTTCAAGGCTTCTAGTCCAAGGATAACCTGCTAGCGCTTCCACACATGGCTGACCTATCACAGATCAGACAATCCATCTCTTCTGCCCCACAGGGACCAAAGCCCAGAAAATATTTAATTGTGCATCAGAGTTTCAGAAAAAGTCCTCTTAAGTCATAATGTGCACTTCTAACATCTAGGTTTGATAAGTTAAAATCACATAAGTACAGGTTCAAACCAGAAAGATCAGGATCACAGACTGAGATACAGGGTCACTTAGTCCAACCTGCCATTTTACAGATAAGCAAACTGAGTCTCAGAGGTGTGTGTGTGCGCGAGGAGCAGAGTCAGGGCTGGAGCCCAGGTGCCCCAACCCAGAGAGCCCGCACTGCACAGCTCACACTGGGGACTCATGAGTGGGTCCCGGGAGCTGTGCGGCCCAGGGCCCTGCCCTGGAGTCTCTGCAGGGCATACTGTACACAGAGAGTTTGGTGACCCCTGCCCTCTCCACCGGCTGCAGTGGAGCTCCGTCTGCTCTCCAATACAGGGTCCTGGAGCCAGGAAAAGAGATGCAAAGTCACACTCCAGGGCCCGCTGCCCCGCAGCTCAGGTTACCTTTGGGCATGATCTGATGCATGGCCACTGACAGGAAGAAGATGGAGTCGCTGTAGTAGGTCCCAGAGCCGGCACTGAAGTGCTTCTGCATGGCCTCCACGACGGGGAAGAGCTTGTCCGTCAGCACGCCAACATCATGGAAGACGACCTGCAGGAGGACACAGGCAACAGCAAGAGTGAGCAGCCCAGGCACGGACCCAGCACGCACACGGGCCGTGGACAGGACAGATATGGCCTCTCCAGGGCCCACGAGAGAGGGACATGGCACCCCTAAGGCCTAGGGAAACGGGGAGCAGTGGGGATGGGAACACCAAGTGTGAGGGTGTGTAGGCAGACGTGTGGGGCACAGTGGGAGAGGAGTGGGAGCCAGGAAATGGGAGCTGCCCCCAGTCTGCTTCTGCTTCTGAACCTCAAACTGGGCCACACTGGAGGAAGCTCTGTGCCCAGAGACTGGAAACCAAGTTAATGGAACTGGTCATGAAGTGAGGACCCTCAGCAAGTCTGGGGTCCTGGCACTGGCTCCAGCATCACCTGGAGGCCATTACATATGTTCTGCATTGCAGTCAGACGTACCACCTCCCTGCCCAGCAGTGTGACAGGGAGAGGGTCTGGCCACTAGAAAATGAAATCTGAAAAATGCCAGGAGATGCAGCCAACTCATCCATTGACTTAACCACCATTTCTTAAGTGTCCCAGACACTCTGGAGGTGCTGACAGAGGTATCAGGAGAAACCAGGCACCACTTTCCTCAAAACAAGTAGAGTCTAGAGATGTCACCAGCGGCTCTGTCACAGAGCTCTGCAGTTTATGAAACTCTCATACACACAAAGATCCCCACGACAACCTGGCATTCAGCAGGCAGACATCCAAGCTACAACTGAGAAAGTAGGTACTCAGAGAGGTTACACTCGTCCAAGACCACAGAGCTAACAACTGGCAGAGCCAGAACTGAACCCTGGCTTCCAGACTCCAAGTCTCATGCTCTTTCCACTCCACACACCTCCTCTTTTCCTTAACAGTGACCAATAGAGGAAAACATCAGCAAGATCAGCAATTAAAGGAGACATGAGAGCCTCCTGAGTCGGTTTCCCTTGCTTGACATTATTCCGGATGATCAGACCATCCCACAGAGAGCCCCAGCCCCACATGAGATACCAGATTACCATGCACTCGGCTCACATACGTCTTGCAAGTCTTCCCTGTTGCTGTGTGTGCCCCGCAACATCCAGCACATTCCACTGCACACAAGAGGAGCCCAATAAATGTACCCAAGCCGCAGTGCAGATGTCCCTCCTCCTCCTCCTTCAACCCTCCCATGAGATCTGCTGATGACCTTCCACCTCCATCTTCCCTGGCAGCTAAGAGGACAGGACGAGACTGCGAGGTAGCCACCACCTCGATTCCAGGGTCAAGGACCTGCCTGAACAGGGTGCCGACCATGAAAGGAGGAGCCACAGGAGGCCCCTGTCTGGCTAGCTGACACTGTCAACAGCCCTGCTGCAGGAAAAATGACAGATGTGGGCAGTGCCCAAGAAGTCCCCAAGCAGGTAGGCTCCATTCTGTAACTTACCTCTGCCCTTGCCCTCCACCTGCCCAGGTTCCTCCCGGGGCAGCCCTAGGTGCCACCGCCCAAGCCTGCAGCCCCAGAGCTGTCAGTGTTCAGACGGCTAGAACAAGTACCTCCCGGCTCACAGAGGCCAGCTGTCCCATCTGCTTCCCCCTACTTTAGGTTCTGCTTTTGGCCAGAAATCTGTTTTTGTCTTAACTCACTTTAAGTGTTTCCTTTTTATTCTCAGATCCACTTAAATTTCTAAAACACTATTAAACAAAAAAAATCCTTTATGCTGTGTTAGCCCTCATGATTCCCTATCTGTAAGCCTTTAAATTTTTTATCTCTTCATAAAAGTCTTTTTACACCTTCTTGTCATTTGTCTCCTAATGCACTTTTTCTGACTTTTTTTTTTCTTTGACTTTTTCCCCTTCTGTAACCTCTCAACCTGGGCTTCCTTGGTACCTCAGCTAGTAAAGAATCCACCTGCAATGCAGGAGACCTGGGTTCCAGCCCTGGGTTGGGAAGATCCCCTGGAGAAGGGAACGGCTACCCACTCCAGTATTCTGGCCTGGAGAATTCCACGGACTGTATAGTCCATGCGATCGCAAAGAGTCGGATACGACTGAACGACTGAACGACTTTCACTTTCACTTTCGTTTCCAACCTGGGATGTGGAATCCAGACCAGTTCTGCTGTTTCTCAACACAGGTGCCAAACTATGGTTTTGGCTTTGGCAACCCCACACACGTTGCTCCCCTGACATCCTGGCTGCAGGGGGACCACAAACCCCACAGGCTTCCCCACCTCCTGTCTTGCGCCCTCCAGACCAGCCTCTGTTGTAAGGCAAGATGAGTTTTCCAAATTTGCAAATTCATTTCTCTTCCTCTTTGGCTTCAAAACTTCCACTGGCTCCTCAGAGCCTTGGGTCACAGTCCGAACGCCCCAGCAAGGCCCCACACTAGTGGCTCCAGCTGCCCCTCAGCCCTCCCCTCCCTGAGCACTGAGGGGAACTGAACCAGGCAGTCTGCACCCTGCCCACCACACCTTGGTGTCCTGTGTCTTCCACTCTTGCTCAGACATGCACTTCTGGCTTCCCCGCGGCTTCCCACGATGCGTCAGGCTGTCCTGAGCACCCTGTGTCACAAGGAGGGAGGCTCCACTTCCCCGTCTGTCTCCTCTGCGGGTCCTGCTTCTGCACTGGCTGGATGGGGCACTCCTGGAGGCCAGGAGCCGGGACTGCTCGGGGCCTTGGGAAAGCCCCAGGCCATCAGGACAGGCTCGCTGAACTCAATGAGCTGCATTCTACGCAAGCTACTACACCTCTCGGAGTTCGAGTGGGCCTTAGTTTCTTCATGGATAACACAGGAATGACAGACACCTCCCCTCCTGTAAGGACCACCTGGGATGAGCAGATAAAACACCTAGCTCAGGGGTTGCCACGCTGTACTTCATCCAAAGTGTTAGCATTCTGCACACGTGCACACACACAGACACAGCCCCTCCTTGGCCCCCTGAGCTTCCTGTGTGATAGCATACTACACACACGCACACACACACGCATTCACGCACGTACACACACGCGCACATACCCAGCCCCTCCTTGGTCCCCTGAGCTTCCTCTGTGATAGCATACTACACACACACACACACACACACACGCATGCATGCACACACACGTACACACACGCACACACGCACATACCTGGCTCCTCCTTGGTCCCCTGAACTCCCTCTGTGATAGCATACTACACACGTGCGCGCACACACACATGCACACATGCACACGCATGCACATACCCGGCCCCTCCTTGGTCCCCTGAGCTTCCTCTGTGATAGCATACTACACACACGCGCACGCACACACACACGCACACACCCGGCCCCTCCTTGGTCCCCTGAACTCCCTCTGCTCACAGATCAGCCTTCACTCATGAGCCGGCTTTTCCCTCTGAGCCTCATTACACTTCTAACAACTGCTAGAAACTGGAATTTGACAAGAAGCTGGAAGCTGACGAGGGCCCTCAGAAATGGAAGCCTCTGCATTCATTAAAAAGGAAGAGAAAAAAATGGATGTGTACCCACACACACTCAGAACAGGGTCCACTATGGCCAAACCATGGGAGAGAGACAGCGAGCGGCAGCCAGCTCCCTCCCCTCCCCAGGCCCCCATCTCACCCCAAAGCTTCACAGGAGACAATTACATCCCATCAGCATTAATAGATTTATGAGGACAAACTGTACTGGGTACATTGCTCCAAACGCTGTACAGAGGAGCCTGCTCCAATGAATATTTCATATAATAAATCTACTTAAAGATAAATTAATATGTTCCACAGTACACTTTCTGCAGCAAGAAGCAAAGCACAGACACTGCAAGCGTGAATCAAAGCACCAGGCCTGCCAGTATCTCAAACAGGTTTGGAAACTGTGGTCTCCTGAGGGCAGGCTTAGAGTCTGGCACTCTCTGAAGCCCCCAGCCCAGCCAGGGGCTAGTGCCTCACAGCGGTGATCAAAGCAAGAGTGATGGAAGAGAGAAAAAAAGAGGAAGGGGGCAGAGAACATGCTACCCCTCCCTGTGTCCCTCCTTTTCAGATCCTCCACTTCAGGGGCTGCAAGGAGAAATACCACATAACCCAAAAACCCAGGGCCACAAGGTGACTCCTATACTGAAGGCAGCTGACCCATGAGAAGATGCAAGATGATGGTTTACAGCAACTGACTATAATTTTTTTAGGGATGTAGATTAAAAAGCCAAATCTTACGTGCAACTTTTATTAATTTATGTATGTGAAAGTGAAGTCGCTCAGTCGTGTCCGATTCTTTACAACCCCATGAACTATAGCCCACTAGGTTCCTTGGTCCATGGGATTTTCCAGGCATGAATACTGGAGTGGGTTGCCATTTCCTTCTCCAGGAGATCTTCCCGACCAAGGGATCAAACCCGGGTCTCCCGCATTGTAGGCAGACGCTTTACCATCTGAGCTACCAGCGAAGCCCAATTTATGTATACCTATTTTAAATTATAAAAATCTTATTCATGATTATTTCCATCTACTACACACCTTACAAAATGAATTTTTTCAAACCCTTCATGTGCTCCTTAACACGAATGTCTTTACCAACCCCAGAGTCAAGTTGAGTCATTCAGAGCAGTTTTCCAGAACACATCATCCAATCATCTATTCAAGATGTTTCAGATACAAGCCCCTTATAAATCTGTGTGGGATGCTGTCACCAGAAATGGCATCTATCCCAACCTCAGAGAACCCATGCCCATACCATTAAGGCAGTGGTTTTTTCACCAGCCTATAACCAGATATTTATAGCCACTTTAAAAGGATCCCTTATATCAATATTCCACGTTTATAATTATGAGATCAAAATCCCAGAAACAGTGGCTAAATCTGTGTTCTATTTCTTGGCTTCCTTTTACCTTTAATGAAGTCTGTCAAGAGAATTCTAGGAGCACCCACATTCAGTAATTAATGCTTCAGGCTAAGGTGGTCTCAAGCGGTACTTTGTTGTGCAAAATAGAGCATGTAACCAAGAGAGTGCCATGTAAAATAAGAGACTGGAAAGATATCTCTCTTGCAAAG